ATCAAAATGGCAAGTATTAACAACCGTTGATCATCAATTTCTCTCAACATTAATCAGCTCAATTCCCCAATAAAGAGATACAGGCTAACAGAATGGATGCAAAAACAGGATCTGTCATTCTTCTGCATACAATAAGCACACATCAGTAACAAAGATAGACATTACCTCAGAGTAAATGGCTGGAAAAAGTTTTTCAAGCAAACAGACTCCAAAAGCAAGCTGGGGTAGCCATTCTAATATGTAATAAAATAGACGTTCAACCAAAATTAAATAAAAGGGATGGGGAATGACACTTCATACTCATCAAAGGAAAAATCCACCCAGATGACATCTCAATTCTGCACATCTATGCCCCAAATGCAAGGGCAGGTACATTCATAAAATAAACATTACTTAAGCTTAAATCACACATTGAACCCCACTTTCACCACTGGACAGGTCATCCACACAGAAACTAAACAGAAAAAAATAATGAAACCAACAGATATTGTAAATCAAATGGACCTAACATATCTAGAGAACATTTCACCCGAACACGAAAGAATATACCTTCTCCTCAGCATCTCATGGAGCCTTCTCCAAAACTGACCATAGTGTCACAAAGCAAACATTTACAGATACAAGTAAATTGATGTAACTCCTTGTATTTTATCAGACCCCCATGCATTAAAGCTGGTCTTCAACAACAACAGAAACAACAGAAAGCTTACAGACACTTGGAAACTGAACAACTCTCTACTCAATGATTTCTGGGTGAGGAAAGAAATAAAAAAAATTAAAGACTTTTTAGAATTCAACGAAAATGAAAGCAAAACATACTCAAACTTGTGGGACACAATGAAAGCAGTGCTGAGAAGAAAGTTCATAGCACTAAGTGCCTTCATAAAGAACTTGGAGAAATATTATACTCGAAACTTAACAACATACCTAGAAGCTCTGGAACAAAAAGAAGCAAATACACCAAAGAGGAGGAGAAAACAAGAGATAATTAAACTCAGGGCTGAAATCAATAAACTAAAAACAAAGGGAACAAAAAAAATAATTAATGAAAACACGAGCTGGTTCTTTCAGAAATTTAACAAGACAATCAAACCCTTAGCCAAACTAACTAAAAGACAGATGATATCCAAATGAACAAAATCAGAGATGAAAAGGGTGACATAACAACAGACACTGAGGAAGTACAAAGAATCATTAGGTCTTACTTCAAAAGCCTGTATGCCACAAAATTGGAATATCTAAACAAAATGGAGGAGTTTCTTGATAGATACCACTTACCAACTTTACATCAAGATCAGGTACACAATTTAAATAGACCTATGAACCCTAAGGAAATGAAAGCAGTTATTGAAAGTCCCCCCCCCCCCAAAAAAAAAAACCCCTCAGGACCAGATGGTTTTAGTGCAGAATTCTATCAGACTTTCAAAGAGCTAATGCCAATACTTCTCAAACTATTCCACAAAATAAAAACAAAAGGAACATTGCCAAACTCATTGCATAAGGCCACAGTCACTCTTATAACTAAACCACACAAAGTCTCACCAAAAAAAGAAAATTTCAGACCAATCTCTCTTATGAACATCAATGCAAAAATACTCAATAAAGGGTTTTTTAAAGAACAAATCAAAAATCATACACTATGATCAAGTAGGGTTCATCCCAGGGATGAAGAGATGGTTCAACATATGAAAATTCATCAATGTAATTTACCAAATAAACAAAATGAAAAAAAAACCCACTTGATCACTTCATTAAGTGCTGAAAAAGCCTTTGACAAAATCCAACACTCCTTCCTGATAAAAGTCTTGGAGAGATCAGGGATACAAGATACACACCTAAGCAAATAAAGGGAATATACAGCGAGCCAACAGCCAACATCACATTCAAAGAAGAGAAACTCAAAGCAGTTCCAATAAAATCAGGGACAAGACAAGGCTGCCCACTCTCTCTTTCTCTCTGTTTGATATAGTACATGAAGTTTTAGCTAGAACAATATGACAACTAAAGGAGATCAAAGGGATACACATTGGAACAGAAGAAGTAAAAATATTGCTATTTGGAGATGAGATGATACTATATATAAGTGACCCCCAAAATTCTGCCAGAGAATTCCTACAACTAATAAACACCTTCAGCAATGTGACTGGATACAAAATTAACTAAACAAAAATCAGTAGCCCTAATTTGTATAAATGATAAAAAGGCTGAAAAAGAAATTCGGGAAACAATAGCCACAAACAAAATAAAATATCTTGGTGTAACCCTAACCAAGCAAGTGAAAGACCTGTATGACAAGAAATAGAAAAATATATCAGAAGACAGGAATATTTTCCATGGTCTTGAATCAGTAGGATTAACATAGCAAAAATGAGATTTAATGAAATTCCCAACAAATTCCAACACAATTCTTTACAGATATTGAAAGAACAATTCTAAACTTCATACGGAAAAATAAAAAAATCCAGGAAAGCTAAAACAGTTCTGTACAATAAAAAAACTTTTGGAGGTATCCCTGATTTCAAACTGCACTACAGAGCAATGGTGATATAGCCCCTAGCAATCGGGGATATATATCATAAAAAGGTCACCTTCTATAGCCAGGCAAGACTTCCAACAGAGGGATGGGGCTACCAATCCAGCCACAAAACCTTTGACCCACAATTTTTCCTGCCTTAAAAGGTGCAGGGATAAAGAGGGCGCAGACAGTCTCTATGTGGATGCCCTAGTGAGGGGAGCAGGGGCTGTTTCTGACATGGACTCTGTTACCTGCTCCTCAGTCAGTTCCCCCAGTGGGGTGGCCTTGCCAGCCACAAAGGAAGAAGATGCAGCCAGTCCTGATGAGAATTGATAGACTGGGGTCAGTTGGTAAGGGAGGAGGGCTCCCCCTTTCTGAGGACTAGAGGAGGAGTATGGGGGGAAGAGGGAAAGTGGGTGGGAAAGGGAGGAGATGACGGAGGGGGCTATGATCAGGATTTAAAATAAATAAAATGAAATAAAAATTAAATTAAAAAAAGAGGGAGCAGAAACTAAGAGAATGACCAAGCAATGGGTGGCCCGGCTTGAGTCCCATGCCATGGGAGGGTGCCCACTCTGGCAATATTAATGGTATTCTGCTGCACATGCAGACAGGAGGCAGCATAACTGTCCTCTGAGTGGTTTCACCCAGCAGCTGGTGAAAACAGATGCTGAGACCCAGAGCCAAACTATAGGCAGAGCTCAGGGAATCTTGTGGAAGAAGGGGAGGAAATCGAAGGATCGAAAGAGGTCAAGGACACCACAAGAAAGCCAACAGAATTAACTAACCTGGGTCCATAGGGGATCACAGAGTAATCATGCTACCAACCAGACAGCATGCATGGGATGGACCTAGCACTTCCCCCATATCTAACAGCTTGGTCCTCCTGTGGAACCCCCAGACGCACTGCCAGCAGTCAGGGGCTGCTCTGACTGTTGCCTGCCTATGGACCTCTTTCCCCTGACTGGATGCCTTGTCTGGCCTCAGTAGAAGATGGTGCGCCCAGTCCTACTGTAACTTGAAGGCAGTTGCTATCCACAGGTCTCCTCTGCTCTGTGGAGAAAGGGAGTGGGGCAGAGGGGAAGGGGAGGTGAGAGGGAGGGACTGAGAGGAGGGAGGGAAACTCAAATAGGGATGTAAAGTAAATAATTAATGAAAAAGCAGAAAAAGGAAAGACAGATCACATACTTTCATTAGACAATAGCACAGAATATACATTACCATTACAAAAGGGAGGGACAGGAGCAGAGTGAGGAAATACTGGAACAAAGCAACATGGAAAACCAGCGGGGCAAACTCCAAACTCTGCATCGCCATGTCTGATGTCAAAGTGCTCTTCAGATCCCCAGCTCCACTTAGTTTTGTTAACTATAACACACTTCTCTCTCTTAAGAGAGAATCCCGTTCCCTGTTAGCAGTTCTTCTTGGCAGGTCACAGCTCTGGCATCTCTAACATTTTGGGGTCTCCAAGGCAATCCAGGCTTCACCTTCACAGCTCCAGGCAATGGCCTTTCTAGGCCTCCATGCAGGAATACCCAGACCACACACCTGGCTTCAATGGCTTTTCTTCATCAAAGAGGGAGATTCTATAACCCCTTCTTCGGCCATCCATGTGGTTGAAGATGCCAAGTTCTGCTGCTTGCTGGGACTGGAACAGAGCCCCTCATTCAATTACATCTTCACCAGGTTTCTGTTTTAGGCTCGGCTGGGTCTTGAAGTCAGAGATTTGCTTTCCCCTGTCTCCTGAGTGCTGGGATTAAAGGTGTGTACCATCACTTCTGGACCCAAACTGTTCTTTAATTTCTTTTTACAGGTTGGAATCTTAGTTGGGTAAAGTCTTGCTCTGAGGTCTCCACTCCTTTTATTCCATTTAACATCAAGATTATCTTTAATCTGTGTATCTCACTGAACACAGGACTTACCTCCATTCCACTTCCTGGTATTTGTATTTTTTCCTTGCTTAGCTTGCTTCTTTTCATTGTAGATCTCCATAAGAGTGAACTCTAATAGCTACATGCCAGAGTCAATTCTAGGCTGTCTTGAGATTTCCTCTGCCAAAGCAATTAATCCAAATTCTTCACCTTAGCTTCAGGCAGACTTTTCAGACAAAAGTAAAAAGCAGCCACATTCTTAGCCAAAACATCAGAAAAACAGTGTCTAGGCCAT